AATCATTAGAAATTAATCAAAATTATGCAGAAGCATTAGCAAGCCGTGGAGAAACTTATCGCATGATGAACAGATACGAAGAATCACTGGTGGATTTAAATAAATCATTAGAAATTAATCCAGATTATGCATTGGCATTAGAAACTCGTGAAAAAGTTTATAAACTATTAAATAAAAGATTTAAATTTAAGTTTTGGTAATATAATTAATTGGTATTTTATGTATATTTAAATATATTTTTTATCACTCGAAAATTTAGCTTGTACGGATCAATTCAATCATTTATTTTATCACTCGAAAATTTAGCTTGTACGGGTCAATTCAATCATTTATTTTAACTTTAGATTCTACAATTATTACTATATATAGTAGCAATTAATATTATCCTTTTTTCTAGTTAAACTAGAGACATGATCATGTAGGCGGCTTCGCCGCCCATAATGTGTTAAAGATAGTAGATTTGTTTGTTTTATTCTTATTTTTATTCCAGAAAGAAAATTTTCTCAAGTATTTCTGTCATTAGATGTTCCGTCTTATTTAATGCAATGCACCAACTTTGGGCCAAAGTTGGTGCACTAAATTTAAAGCTTTTATTTATTATGTAAAACGATCATTATAGCCGTAAGATTATCGACAACAACGTTGTTGTTTCCTATACTATTGCGCGATTCTGTGTCACGCTGTCACGCGAATGCATAATTTGATTTAATTTCTAATGATTTATTTAAATCTTCTAGTGATTCTTCGTATCTTTTCATTTTACGATAAGTTGTTCCACGGCTTGCTAATGCTTCTGCATTATTTGGATTAATTTCTAATAATTTATTTAAATCTGCTAGTGATTCTTCGAATCTATTCATCATGTGATAAGTTGCCCCGCGGTTTTCTAATGCAAGCGCATTATTTGGATTAATTTCTAATGATTTATTTAAATCTGCTAGCGACACCTCGTATCTATTCATCATCCCATAAGTTGCTCCACGGCTTGCTAATGCAAATGCATCACTTGGATTAATTTCTAATGACTGATTTAAATCTGCTAATGATTCTTCGTATCTTTCCAACTTATAGTATTCTATTCCGCGGTTTTTTAATGCTTCTGCATTATTTGGATTTATTGTTAATAATTTATTTAATCCTACAAACGGATCCTTGTGATCATTTATAATATTTTCCGAATTAAAATTTGAATAATCTTGGCTAACGACTTGTAATTGATTAAATCGCTGTTCTGTCGAAAATAAATAAGTTGTTAATAAGAAAAACAAAAATTAAAATTTTAACCCTAATAATTAATTAAGCATAATAAACCTATTGAATTCATGTCTTGAGTATAATTATTTAATTTAGATGGGTTAACATCTGCATGATCATTATTCAAAATACCTCTATTAATATCATTTTCACAATGATAAACTGGTTCCATTCGCATATTATTTAGTTTATCACGGATTGCGGCTATACTAGGACGTAAATTTGGAATACCGTTCCAAGCATCGCAATAAATATTTATAAAGTCAACTGGCGTCCCGTTAATAGGAGTTTCTCTTTTACCATTAATTACATGCAAGGCTATTTCTGTTTGATCAGACATATTTTTAAATGGAGATATACCACTTGATAACTCCCAGAAAAGTATGCCGAGACTATATATATCAGAAGGTTTATCTCGTTTATATAAAAATTGGTTTTGGAGGTATTGTGGATCAGAAAATGCATATGTTCCTCCAGCAATAGATTTTGTGCCATTATCTAACGATTTAGATAAGCCAAAATCCGCAATCATTAATTTACCATCATGCACTAATATATTCCTATCATGCTATAAAATAATTTAATAAGTATATAATAAAAAGTGAAAAATAAATTAAGCAGAAAAGGTATCTCACAAGATCACGATGAACAATATTTGCATTGTGTAAACAATTAATCCCACTAGAAATTTCTTTTGCCATTCTGATTTTAATTGTCCAATCTAACTCTAAAAAATGTTCACCATTATTAGCGAATTGAAGAACCATGTAGTACGCTTCTGTTTTCGGATCTAAATTAATCTAAATTATTAGTTAACTGATAGTATTCATTCTTTACATTATATAAATCTAGTATACCTTGTGTGATTCCAAAGAATCGTACTATATTATCATGATGTGTAACTCTAGTAAGGTTTTTAATCTTAGATTATTTAATGTAATTAAATCAGTAAAGTCTTAAATAAAAATATAAATAATGTAATAAAATGAGAATACTTCTTTAATAAAGCCATTCAACGCAATATCATCATCATCATCACAATATAAACTCTTTAAAGCTATAGTATTTTCGGTATCTCTTGAATAAGCACTATATATGGCACCAAATCCTCCTCTACCAATCACTTTCCAATTTTGAAAAGAATCATACTCGAATAATGTAATATATTTGTTTTCAATAGCAACTTTAAACCAATTTGACATGTTTAATATACCACATATTAGTTCTTTATATCCTAAGAGGTCTAAAATATGCGCATTTAGTTATAAATAAATTAATATTGCATGCAATTTTCCGAAAAAAAGTTCTTAAAAAAGTTATTTACCTATAATAACGAATAGAAAACCAATTTCTATTGTTTAAAGTTTTCAATGGTCAAACTCGAGTTTCAAAATTCAAATAAAATTCATTTATGTATCTATCGCTGCAGTAAAATGACTGAACAATTATTATATATAATGGCAGGCTTACTTATTTGTTTGGGTTTGGGATTTGGAGTTACGCAAATTAGTACCGCTGGCCACTGCATATTTAGTATCTCCTGAAAATAACATCCTACCACATAAAGTATTCCATCTTCACCAATGAGATGTTGGATTTATGAATAATACCCGGTAGTATTCAATTTTAAAAGTAAAGTTCTTGAATAAGACCCCGAATACTGTATGCAATAAAAATGGTCTTCGTCTGAGTTTTTTCGACATCTCCATGTGTTACCGTAAGGCCATTCAAAGTCGAATAGTTGGTTAGCGTCATCTCGGTTAATTGTAATAGATTAGTCATGTCCGATGTTATGCCGAGATTGTGAGAGCAATATCATACGTGTGCACGGAGTGAATGTTTATTAGGGACTCTGATTTAATGATAGTTAGTTATTAACATTGTAGTTATTTCGTAATTTATTTTTATCAGTAAGGTCCATTGTTTGAACCGGAACCAAAAATCATACTGTTCTCGGTCCATTACGGTTCGATCCCGGTCTTTACGAAGACTGATCCATTGCTACCCGGATGCCGATTACTTGTGTGAAATTCAAATTAATTTTATGTACTCACAAGAATATATTTTATTAAAATTTTTATGTTCTCAACGAACATTAATTTCACATACTGCTTGCAATGACACTTATTTCCCTATTAATCGACTTATTTGGTCACCTGTTTATTAACAGGCGACCCATTTGTGAAATTTTTTCAGTTCGGGTTATCAGTTGGATGGTAATCATAACTATTATGATTATCAGTTTTACTATGTATGTTTCATGATAAACATTAAGAATTTACTAGAGAGCGAGATATAATATTTCATGTTGGTAAAAATTTTTAAATCGATTAGTTGTTAAGTTAGTTACCAATTCGTTGCAACTAATTATCACATTTTAAATAATTTGATTGGTATAATAGATAATCACATGTTTTTGATCGTTATGACAATGAAATTTAGTATTTAAAATTTGGTTGGTTAAAGCTTTTCCAATCGATTAGTCAACTAACTAGTTTAGTACTAATAATGCATTTTATATTGCTTATAATTTGCTAATATTTGCAAAATTCCAAATTTCATAAGGAGGATCTCCAGGTCGCAACATACGAATTCGTACCGTGCTAGGCTATTAATATAATATATATATATATATTTTTTTTTTCTTGAATCGAACGAAAGGGAAGAAAAACCAAATTCGTTTTATGCTAAATTAAAATTTAATCAAAAAAAAGAGTGAGCGTATTGAAATAACGATATTGGTAAACGACTGGTTTTTGTTAACTCTGAGCGCTTGGAATCACCATGAATATGCGAAACCCTACTTTGGGTCAAACGAATGCGGTAACACAGAAGGTCGTGATTGGTATAAGGAAGCTCTCCCAGTCGCAACGCAACGTACAAAATATATATCACGCCCTAATTACAACGTCATAATAAGTTAGAACTGACGTTTTCCTAGACCAACTCTTGTATGGGGAAAACCATATCTGTCAGACGGTGTCCCCATATGTTCATAGTATTGAGACATGCGGCGAGAGCATATGATATAACGATAGCTGATTAAACTTTCAACATAACAATAACAGTTCAAATAAAAATATGCCCATTGTTCCCATTGTTTATTGATAACTTATCTTTGATTACAGTATTAGCAGACAACTTTGTGAATTGTTTCCTAAGAGAATAAATTCTCAAATATATATATATATTAGTAAAATTTTTTCTAAGACAAAAAAAATACGTGACACTAAATGAAATACCTATGTCGAGAATAATTACAATTACCTTTTCGCCTCTTTTCAAATGAATTCTTTAATACTGTACTTGTCAATAACCTTTACAGACGAAGTATTTATTAAGTTAAAGGCATAGTACTTTGCCATACTTAAAAGTAGTACTTAGCCATACTTATAAGTAGTATTTGGCCATACTTGATGGGACTTTTTAATTAATAATTATGAATTTTTAACGATTAAAAATTAAAAAAATGTATCGGAAGTATCAAATGTATCGATAGAATGATATGATCAATCATAAAACACGCAGACTAATAAAAATTTTATAAATAAATAATAGTTTCTGCATGTTTTATGATTGATCACTGATTATATCCCTTCTATGCTTCTGATATATTTAATTATCGGGCAGCTTACTATGATTTATCTGCCCAATAATTTTATTATTGGGCAGAAAAAAAAGTTTAAAATAGTT